TGTGTGTGTGTGTGTGTGTGTGTGTGTGTGTGTGTGTGTGGAGGTCATTGCAAGGAGTGGCTTTGAGCAGCTGAATTGCCAAGCTTCACCTCCATTCTGGAGCAGACGTGTGAGGGTTCCAGGCCAATGAGGGGCTGCCTAGGCCATGTTCATTCAGAGACTAATGAAAGGCCAATGGCCTCAAGGTCAGATGTTGGCCAAGGCCTTGGGCCAGTCTGCCTTTCAGATAACTTTTTCCAATCTGCTTGATCCATTAGTACGTGTCCATCAAAATGGCTGGTCAAGAAGGCCCTAGGTCAAGAAGATGATGACTGCATTCCCTAACTGGGTTTCCCTGATGCTCTGCGGCCATACTGAGCTTTTTCTTCTCATATGCCTTCCTTCCCTCACTAGAACTCATATCAGTGGAGGCTCCACTTAGAAAGGTCTACCTCAAGACTGGCAGAATATTCTTCACAAAAGGTTTCTCTCTTATGTCTGCTGCTGCCCTTTACTTTGATTAACCTCCGTATTCCACTTTTCCCAGAATTATTCCATACTCTTCAAATCTGTATCGAAACATTGCATTTTGAGAGATAGGTAAGGGCTTGATGCAATATATACAAAAGAATAGAGATTAGAGCCAAATTCGAGCCTTAGACTTTTGATCACGTCTCCTCACTTGTTTTGATGTGCTGGTGTCAGCAGGAGACAAATTCAGTTTGAGAGCAGAAATGAAGTTTCTCTTATCCCAGGTAGTTTCTTCTAGGCTAAACACTGACTGCCACTGAGTGGAAAGCTTGTTTGCTTGCTTGTTTCTGGTGAGGTCATTTCCCTCCTCCTCCCACCACAAGCGGCAGTCACGATCCCTATGAACTCCTAGCACCAGACGTTGAGGAGACGTTGAAATAGATGATCTGACTCTAACTCCAAGCTGCTAAGGGGCCCCTCTCTCATGTGGGGGCCTCTCTAGCTGGTCCCTCTGAAGAATTCTTCCAGTGGCCCCACATTTGCAGGCGCCATGCCTGAGGTTCTCAGATTAGCCATCTCAATCAGCTGGCAGGGCTCAGGGCCACTAAAGCAGGCTCTTACTCAATTCCAGCGGCAGCTGGCCCTGCCTTGGCCTCGGCCCCTCTCCCTCTCCCTGTAAAATTAGGCTTTGCCCACTTACCATAGAGCACGGAGCATAGATTTAGAGCTGAGAGAACCCTTAGAGGTCACTTGGTCCTTTCATTTGCTACCTTGTTTGAGCCATGTAGTCAGCTGGTATAAGCCACTTTTGCAACCTGGGCTGTGCTGCTGCCGCTGCTGCCTTCTCCTTAGGGCCTCTGCTTCACAGCAGGCCCTCCCAGAGGAGCCTGGGATGTGAACTCTGATAGGGAGCAGAAGGTGCTGGGGCACGATCCACGAAGGGCCCTGGAACTTCAATGGAGAAGGCCTTTCTCCAGTAATGCCCATTGCAACCTCTCGGGAGGCAATGTGGTACCACGCCAGTACTCCAAACCTCTACAACTTGGCATAGGTCCTTGCAAGAACTTGGGTTCCTCTGCTACGGCCCCTGAGAACTCAGTGTCCCCTCCATGCCCCCAGTGAGGCACCTGGGAGGACTTTTAATGAAGGGTCCTAGAAATCGATTTAGCCTGGAGAGGATGGGGCAAGGCTCAGATGAGTCATAGTCTTCCCTTCTCTGGCCAATCAGCAGCATCCTGATGAGATCCTGGCCGCAGAAATGATTTGGGTGTGGCTTAGTGGACAGAGAACTGGCTTCGGAGTCAAAATCTCACCTTAGACACTTACAGCTATATCCCCTGGAGTATGTCACCTAACTTCTGTCAGTGTCCTCATCTGTACAATGGGCATAACAAAATTCTTACCACCTACTTGTACTTGTTATGAGCAAAGATACGTGGGCCCCCATGGGGCCTGGAGAAGGAAACCAGGCAGGGGGAAAGGGAAAGTGAGGGAGAGAGAGAAACTAGGCTGGGAGAGCCCAGACTGGACACCAGGAAAGTGCTCAAGATGGTGCTTTACAGACCTTCACGTGCTAGAAAAATGCTCACTGAAAGTGTTGTTAATGATAGGACAGGAAAGCCCCAGGTATGACTGAGGAAGTATGGGCATGCATTCCGGGGCTCAGAGGACCATAGAGACTATGATGCCCAAAGCCCAGGGCCTGCCCCAGGCAATGGGCCATTTCTTCTTCACCTGGATTCCTCTGTCTCACAGATGGGGAAAGTGATTCTGATCAGAGAAGTTCTGGAACTTGCTTAAAGTCACACACACTGTGAATGGGCACGATCCAGTGGATAGCAGTCTGGAGTTGGAGTTAGGAAATCCTGGCTCTGGAACCCACCTCAGACACGTATTAGCTGTGGACCGGTCACTTAGCAGAACAGCTTGACACTCCTACAATGCAGTATATACCTAAGGGGCTCAGCAAATGTAAAGTGTCATAGAGACTCAGGCCCACTATCACCTCTGCACTGGCCGTGGCCTCACAGACTGTCACTCCTCCTGCCCCTATCCCTCCACCATGGTGCCTCAGTTCTAGGCCAAGCAGACATGGCAGCCAGTGATGCCCCACTCCCCACGCACACAGATGCCTGTTTCCTGTAGGGGCCCAGAGCAGAGAGGACAAGAGAGCCAGTGAGTAAACAGCTGTAAGCTTTCAGACTTCCTAAGCCTTTCCTGGTGTCCAGTCTGGGCTCTCCCAGCCTAGTTTCTCTCCCCCCCCCCCACCTTTCCCCTCCCCCTGTTGCCTAGTTTCCTTCTCCAGGCCCCCCGGGGCCCAAACACACTGGGGGTTGTTAACAGCATGGCCTCCCGCTTTGGCAGGAGGAAAGGCTGAGTCTCCTCCAGAGAGGGCTCAGGGCCCTAGAAGGCCAGAGTGGTATTCAGTAACGGTAGCAACTACTACTGGCCTGTGTGTATGTACTTCAAGGTAGTCCTGGTACCTCTGAATGACTGATTTCCCAAACCCTTCCCTTAAAAGCCCGTGGCCAGACTGTAGCTTCCGGTTGGGAGCCCATGTTGCTTTGCTCCTGCTAATCGGTCAGGGTGACTGGAGCAAGGCTGGCCAGAGTGGCAGGAACCTGCTGGCCATTTCTGCACTGGGGCTCTGGCTGCTTTGGCCACACATGTTGGGTACCAGCTGGGGACCGTTCGGCTGCAACTCAAAGATTGTCTTTTGGGGCCCCTACCCTATGTGGGCTATGCTCTCCCTCACTCCTCAAGCTCCCAGGTTTTGCCTGACTCATACCCAGCTAGCAGGTTGGCACCATTGACACTAGCTTTACTGCAGGCAGGAGGGCCTTTTGTGGTGGGGGGAGAGGGGGGAAGAGGGGGGAAGGGAAGTCTCCTGCTTATTTTGGAGGCTGAGAGAGAAAGAGAAAGCTAGGCCTCCACTGGGTACCTAGGCTGCAGATCTGAGTTGGCGTGGAGAGGAGGGCCACTGTCTGAGGCATTTGAGCCTGGGCACCTTGGCCTCTTCCCTAAGGATAATCCCTGGCTCTGAGTGATCTGGTCCAAGTTATTGGCTGAATATATTGTGACCTAAGATGTGAGAGCTTGGTTATGAAGCCCGGAGTCACTCTGTGTAACCACCCTAAAACAGGTGGGCCCCAGTGTAGACCTTTCTAGAAATTCCTCTGAAGGAAGAGTCCACCTCCCAACATCTTTTTATCATTTCCTCATCTAGGGATACAACCGGCAGCAGCCACTCTCCTAACACCAGCTATGACAAGTCCTTGGAAGCACGAATCCAGAAGGAGGAGGAAGAGATCCTGTTGGCCAACAGGAGATGCCTTGATATGGAGGGCAGGTAACTGGGTCGGCAACCTCAGGCTGGATCCAGCAGGTTTACCTGGTGGAGCCATAGTGTTAGCCACAGCTGGGAAATCTGGCAGACTAGTATCTTTCTTCTCTCTTCTACCCTACACCACCCTCTCCATGCTCCCTGAACCTTGAGATCTGAAAACCAGGGAAACTGACCCAGGCTCTTCCTTTAAATTTGGTTGATGTCTTTTTACTTGGCCTCAGCCAGTAGGATATTCTCTTTTCTTCTCCTACTGCTCCCTGGTTATTGCAGTCAAAGGGCTAAGAAGTTGACCCATGAAAGTGAGAGGCCGAACCCATCACTCCTCTTCCTAAGCCTAGAGCAGATTCCTCTAAGCTAGTGTCCCTTCCCAAACACTGTCTGCTCTCCATCGTCCCCTTGGTGGACCTTAAGGTTTCTGGCTTATTGGGAAGAGATCTCCAACCCTCTGTCACTATTATCACTGTCTCTTTCCCATTATTCTCACAAACGGCCCACAGTTGCTCATTTCTAATTCGGCCATGGCTTGCCCAGGCAATGGGGCATTTCTTCCTCGTCTGGACTCCTCTGCCTCACAAATGATGCCCGTTTACTCTGGATAGCATGGCCACATTCCCTTATGGTGCTGTCTCCACCCCCTTCACCCCCTCCCAAGTGCAACCGGAGGCCCAAAGGCTGTTTTCACATGCTTTCTCTAATAGGATTAAGACCCTTCATGCCCAGATCATTGAAAAGGATGCCATGATTAAGGTTCTCCAGCAGCGCTCCCGGAAGGAGCCCAGCAAGGCTGAACAGCTGCCACCCATGCGTCCAGCAAAGTCTCTGATGTCCATTTCTAACACCAGCTCAGGTTTGATCCCTCACTCCTCCACCCTCAGCAGCACCCCCATCCGGGAAGAGAAGCGAGAGAACAAGAGCTGGAAGGGGAGCTTAGGTAATAAATAGAGAGCTGCTGGGAGCACCCAGCAAGGGCAGGGGAGCTGTCCAGCAGCTAGTAGCAGGCTACACCCTCAACAAACAGTGCTCTTGCAGGAATGCTTCCTGTGGCTGAGGCACATGTTAGTATCTCTCCGTGGTTGAGGCCACAGCCTGGGGCAGGATACTGGGGCCGCTGGGAAGGGGCAGGAGGAGAATTGGGCATGCCACTGCCACTGCTGTCCAGCCAAGGCTTGGCTCTAGCTTAGCCATGGAGATTTTCCTGGCCTCTTCCCTGGACTGAGGGCTTTGCAGCTTGCTCCCATGTGCCAGGAGGTCTGGATGGTCTTTTGATACATGTGACAGGTAGGGCAGGTGCTACTTCTGAGGTTAAGAATGGAAGATGAGAGGCCCTTCTGGCTCCCCTCCCATGGCCCGATGACGAGGGAAATGGCCATGATTCCATTGTACTCACCAAACTCTGAGTGTAAGCCTGCGGATACAAAGGCTTCCCAGTAGCCTGGGAGCCTCTTAAAGGCAGGGCCTGTTTTGTTAGCATGTCTTTGTGACCTTAGGGCCTTTTACAGAGTAACAGTCACTTAATGTTTATTCGAACTGAGTGAAATCTCAGTTTTTAAAAGTTTCATGATTTTATTAAAATAGTACATTCGATGTAAGTAATGGATTTACATTGTTTGCCTACAGAATGTACCCCTACGACATTGTACTGATTTAAAATAGCCTTAGCAATGATGATTTGGGGGTGGGAGAGAGGAACCTATCGTTTTTATTGGCAGATGGCACTTGGTGACTTATTTGGAATTTCCAGTCTTAGAGACTTGCCCAGGGCATTGAGAGATCTAAGTGACTTGTAGGGGATCACTGTGTCAAGGTAGCTCTTTCCCAACTCTCTCCGCTACTCCCAGAGTCGATGAAAATGCCTCTGATCCAAGTGGCCCTCCGTTAGATGACCTCTGCTTGGGCAGAGCTGGGAGGATGGGGCAGCTTGGGAGTGGCAGAGCAACCTTCGCCCTCCTGGATTGCTTCCTTTTCAACTGGCCTGAATTCAAAGATATCGCTCCTCTTCTTTTCCATTAAAGAGAAGGATTTTCAGGTGCCTATGGGCGGGACAGATACAACTCCAGAAGACCTGTTCTGTCCAGCAAGCCTTAGGGAGCCAGCTCCCTTGGTCTGCACAGCCCCCTGGTCCCAGGGCATTTTGGTCTTGTCTGATCCCAGAATCTCATTGGTGGGGAAGGTCCCTCCATGCAGACCAGCAGCTCATCTACCCTGGGCAGGGCACGGAGAGGACACACAGCTAGTATGTGGCACAGGCAGGACTGGAGCCCAGGTCTACTTGCCTCCCAGGTCTAGCCTCAGACCCCCTCAGGGGCATAAGTGAGCTCTCCCACTCCCCTCTCTTATTTCCTCCCTTTTCTCTGCCTCCTCCCCTCTTTCTCTCTTTCCTTCCCTTCCTCTCACATACACAGAAGAAACTTTTTTTTACAGTTTCAGAGAGGAAGGCATGTTTGAAACAACTGCAGATTTGCAAAATGAAACCCATTAAAAGTACAGCACATTAAAACTGCTCCGTGTCAATCTCTGTCTTTGTCTGTCTCTTCCTCCCTCCTTCCTTCCCCCTCTCCCTTCATTTCTCCCACCTTTCCTCTCTCTTCTTCCCCCTCTCCCTTCATTTCTCCCACCTTTCCTCTCTCTTCTTCCCACTCTCCCTTCATCCCTTTCTCCTTCCCTCTCTGCCTCCCCCTCTCTAGAGTTGGTGGAGAATTGAGAATGATTTGCCAGACTGGAACAGAAGAATCACATTGCCTGAATGATCTGATGATTTGAGCCACAGATATTTGGATAGAGAAAATTCTCCAGCCGGACAGCAGCTCTCCATTTTATATGCTAGGCAGGCTTAGGCTTTTCAACAGGATTGTGGCTGTTGGCTGCACTTTGAGAAAATGGACTTGTTTGAGCTCCAAAGGGGGCTTTGCCTTCCCTTCCTTTTCTCCATCCAGAGGGCTGGCAGGCCTTGGCCTAAGGTACCCTTCAGCTGGTGCCTGGTAGAATCATTACCTTTACTTTGCTTGTGAGAACACTAAGGGGAGAGGCCATGTGGCTCAGTGGATGGCGCTGGCCTTGGAACCAGGAAGATCTTAAATCAGACCCTTGTTAGTTGTGTGACCCTGGGCAAATCGCTTCACCTCAGGTTGCCTCACTTTCCTCATCTGTAAAATGGGGCTAATAATAGCAGCTGCCTTGTAGAATTATGGTGAGCTCAAGTGCGCATGTAATGCAAGCAGATAAGCCAGCTTTAAAGTGTGACAGGAACAGCAACAATTGTCCTTCCTCGCCACAGGAGACATTCCTCGTCCTAGTGAAGCCCCTCGTTCTGGGGCTCGCTCAGATTTGGCTGAACCTCCCTCCCTCAGTCCCTCAAAGGCCTTGCTAATGATAGTCGTCCTCAGGAATGAGCCACAGACCTGGGGCGTTGGGGAATCAGCTCAGGGGCAGGACTTTCATGTGCACACAGGAAGAATTCGGATTGCATGGCTCCCCATCCCTTCTGCTGCGCCCTCATCTTTTCCTCTTCCCTTCACAGGAGTCCTCCTGGGCACAGAATGCCACTCTGAGTCATCCATCCCTTCTACCCCATCTTCCCCACCACTTTCAGCTCACTCCAAGACGGGCAGCCGCGACTGCAGCACCCAGACTGATCGGGGAGCGGACCCAGCTAAAACCACCAATGCCACTGCAGCCCCTGCCACCACCGCCGGGCCTGGCCCCGAGGCAGCAGCCGCAGCTGCGGCTCCTGTCCCTCCTGCAGCTCCTGCTCTTGCCACTGCCACTGCCACCAGCACTGCTGTTGCTCCGGCAACTGCTGGGGCCGGGGCCGCCGCTGGGGCCACTGCCGGGGCCGCCACTGGGGCCGCCGCTGGGACCGCTGCTCCCTCTTCTTTCCATCCAGCCACCATCGCTGGACCAGCTCATTTCCCTGCTCCAAACTTGGCCTATAATTCAGACAAGACAGGTGGGTAATTCATTCTTTGCATCAGGTAACGTGTTCCCTTGGGAGTTTGTGGACCTTATTGGCTTGCCCTTTGGTGTCTGTTTTGTCTCTGGTGGGCCTAGGTGGACCTTATTAGGGAGACTGCTGATAACAATGGCTGCATCCCTCATAGGATCTTCCAAGGGGAATGGATGGGGAGGAAAGTTTGCAAATACTGCCTCTAGCATCGTGTGAAAAGAGCAATGGGCAGTAAAAGCAGGAAAGACCTGTTTCCATACGTAATTACTACCATCCCATTAGTGGCTTAAACAGTTCCCTGAGCTTGTCTTTCTCTCCCAAGAAACTGATTTGAATTTGTGTGTGTGTGTGTGCGTGTGCGTGCGCGTGCTGGCACATATGTTGCCTTCTCTGCTTCCATTCAGATGGCCCAGTTGTCCGCTCTGCTGCTGCAGAAAGAAAAGTGAGCATTCGTGCTACAGGAGAAGACCTTCCAGATGTGGAAATGGTGGAATATCTCATCTAAACAGGCCAAGGAAGAGATATAGCCTGTTGCCAAGACCATGCTTTATCTTTTGTTTTTTCAGAAAGTTATTTTGTTTGGAAACAAGGCAGTCCTTGAGTTCTGAGGAATAGTCACTGCCTCCCACTCTAGTGATAAGACCTTAAAAGGCAGAGTAATTAGAATGTGCTTTAAATTAGGTTTGGATTTTTTTTCTTGTTTGAATAATGGAACTCCTCTCGTCTGGATAGAAACCACTGTCTTAAATGCACCGAGTTTGGTTGTCAATTTCAGCCTTTTAATACTGTCATTGACAAATGTATTTGTAATATGGAGATGAGAGGCTTGGAAGCATGCTTGGTCCATTGACCATCTAGCCATCGTGCAGGGAAAATGCTATTTGGTGGCTTGTGGAAAAGGGGGCTGGAGGTTGGGACTCTGATCACCACTCGTCCCCTCTCCACCAGAACCCTTCCCTCAGCTTTCCTGCACTAAAAAATGGAACCCACTTTGGTTGTTGGGCAACTGGCCACTGGCTTTTTGCGTGCAGATTTCCGAAAACACCTGTCTTCTGGAACAGGTTAGAAATCAGAAAATTGCTTCTTGCATCTTCTGCATGTTGCCTCCAGTGGGCTCTTTCCAAAGACCAAAGGATGTGTCTGGTGGCAGATAGTATCTTGGAATGCTAGTCGTGGTCTGGAAACAAGCTGGTTCGTCTCCCACCTTCCTCAGATCTGGCTTAAGAGGCCTATATGATCATTACCCTAGCAGGAATGGCACTGAAAACTCAGAGCCCTAAGATGCAGTGGTGGGGGGGGGGAAGCTGTGGGGGATGGCCTGTCCCCCACCACCTCTTCTCATCACCAATTATACCACTCTGGGGGGAAAGCCTTAACAGACCTTTTAGAAAGCAACAGGGAAGGGTTGCAAGGGTAGGAACCAAAGACATTGTAGGGAAACATCTCTAAATAACTCCACGGATAGAAGTGGTATGGTAGGCTTGAAAGCGGGAGACTTGGGCTCAAATCTCAGTTCCCACGCTTAATATCTGTGTGACTGTGAGCAAACTGCTTTTCCTCTCTGAGCCTCAGTTTTCTCATCTGTAAAAGGGAGAGAATAATCTTGCACGACCTACCTCACAGGGTTCTGGTGGGGCAGGTGCTTCGTCAATCTTAAAGCATCATAGAAACGTGAGTTATTAGAGGGCCGTGCTGTTCCCTGCGGCAGGTCCCTGCCCTGTGAATGAAGTCATTCACAGTCATTGTAGTGGGGAGGGGTGGGGAATGGGCAAAGGGGCTTGGCGTTAGAATCCAGACAGATAAAACCGTAGGCATGCTCCTTGGACCATGATCATTATAATGGTCATACATGCGTTTAGACATACAATAATCTTAGAGCTGGGAGGGACCTTAGACACTAGTTCATCCCCCTCTTTTTTTTAATAGTGGGGAAGACTGGGGTTCAGAGGAGGGGCAGTGATGTGCCCAAGGTCATACAGAGAGCCCATGGCAAAGCAGAAACAAGAGCATAGGCCAAAGCTCTTTCCACTGGACCACACTGCTCCATTGTTTCTTAGGGATCTTCTGCAAGGATTCCCCTTTGAATGAGCCAGGGCTGGAAGGGGAGGTGGGAGGATGTCTGGAATGGCCATGTCTCCCCCACTTCCTGTTTCCCGAGGCAGGCCCTTCTCTCCACCTGCACCCTGAGCCGCCCTCAGTCTGGGAGCCTCCATGTACTTCCTGGGCTCCTCTCTGTGTCCAGGTGGACCTTTCTATGGATCTTGGCTCTTCTCTCTTCCAGTGACAGAGTTCCTAGTGGAACTGTGTCCTTGGTCACTGCTTTTCAGTGACCCAGCAGGCTGACGCAGATGCACAGCAGCCCATGGGCATGTGCTCCTTTAACCACCAGAACGTAGCTGTTCTTCTGCCTGTGGTTGCAGTTCAAGAAGATGCTTCCCAGGACAGCCAGCTTCCTGCCCCTCCCCAGCTCCCCACACAAAGTTGTCTTTTCTTTCCTACGTTTTCTCTGAAGGTCCCAGAATTCCAGAGGGATTCTGCTGGCTTAGACGCTGGGTGATCGGGGGGGGCATTTCTCAGAACTTCAGTGGGGTCTCCATGACTCTTCCCTCCCAACCCCAGTTTGTCACCAGCAGCTGTCTAAATGAACCTGAATACTGTTCTTTCAAAAGATCTTGAAATGGGTCTGATTTGCTTCTGATTTCAGGTGTACGTTTCTTGTTAGTGGCCACTTTGGGGCCCTCTCTCTGGCCCCTACCTATCTATGCATTTGTCTGGCCCCTTCACTAGGAGGGAGGCCTTGTTTTATTTACTGGGGGGGGGGCTTTTTGGGGGGGGGGGGGGAGGAGAGAAGCGTTAAGGCAACGCTGACCTGTGGACCTCACACCTTCATTGGTCCAAAGTAGCTCAATACAAAATGCTTATCAGTAATGTTTCTATCAAGTTGATTTCTATCCAATAGATGTATTTTAGGGTTTTGGTTTTCTTTTCTTTCTTTTTCTTTTCTTTTTCAAGCAAAGTGCATATTTTGAATTTGGTATCGTATTGATGAAGGCTTTACTTTTAATGCTGCTTTTTTGAGTTTTGGGGTAATGGGGGGGGGGGGGGGGGGAAGGGGGGGCACAAAGCGAAGGGATTGTGGGAAGCACCACTGGACACAACCCAAGGGTTAAGTCTTGTTGGGAAAGTTTGGGGTGGATGTGGATGTTGGCTGCCCTTTGGGTGGGGGGAGGGGAAAGAGGGAGGGGGAGGGGGGTTCTTTTTGTTTTTGCTTTCTAAAGGGCCCTTAGAAACTCTTCGAATGAATGAGGCAGCTTTAATTCTGAAAGTGTGTAAATATGCACTAGTTTATAAATTATATCATCCTATCTAGTAGCTATAAAATCTCAAATTTTAAAAAAATGTGATTTTGTGCGTGTGTGTGTGTGTGTGTGTGTGTGTGTGTGTGTGTGTGTGTGTGTGTGTTGAGGGTGTTTATTTAAAATGTCTGCCTTCTTACTGCCAATGTTTTCTGAAGGAGGGAGCTGGGCGCTGGGCTGATCCCAGCACCTGTCCCCATCCTGAGCCATCCTTCACCTTCTCTAGTCCTAACTACGTCCTGTTCTGTTCTAGTAACGCCATCCAATAAAGGGTTTCTCTAGCCATTGGCTTGTGGTCTGCTTTGTGTGGTCCTTGCTAACCATTGAACCATTATTGAACCATTCTTTCTTCAGTGGCATGGCTGCCTCCACAAACTAGGCCTCAATGGCCTGAGCCTTCCAAATTTCATCCAGGCTGGTAATGAGCCAGCCCCTCAGGGGCCTCAAGACCAAGACACGTAGTCCCCATGAAGCTCTGAAGTCAAACTGGGGGCTACAACATGAGACCAGCATAGGCTCCTTGCCAACTCCAGTCGCCCATTCTAATATAGGACGCATCCAACAGATCCCAGATCCACTCCTCTCTACCTGTATGGCATTACACAAGTGTCATCCCCTCCAGGAGCCTCAACTTCCTCATCTACAAATGGGGGCACGAGAAAGTCAGATATAAAAATGGGGTGTTCGAGTAGCTGATCTTAGGGGTCCTCCCCGGTTCTCTCTGATGCCCTAGGCTCTTCTAAGGACTTGACCCTCTCCTGGCCACATCAGGCATTTGCACTTGGTGTCTCTAAGGGCCTCTAATGTCCTTGACATCCTGTGCTCGCTCCTTGTAAAATGAAGGGGGGAAATTGAATGGGCTCTAAAGTCCCTTTCACCTCCATATTCTTTTTGGGGGGAGGGGAGGCAATCGGGATTAAGTGACTTGCCCAGGGTCACACAGCTAGTAAGTGTCAACTGCCTGAGGCCGGATTTGAAATCGGGTCCTCCTGACTCCAGGGCTGGTGCTCTATCCACTGCAGCACCACCTAGCTGCCCCTATATTCTTTTTAACAAGATCCCTTTCACCTGCAATAGCTGGTAATCCTTGATCACTTCCATTCTCTTGGCCTCAGTTTCCAGTCTACAAAATGAGGAGATTGGACTCAGTGGTCTCTAAAGTCCCCCTCAACCCTCTAGCATCCCTTGATTCTAAGTCACATCCCTGGGCCTGTTTCATCTTTCTGAGCCTCAGTTTCTCCCATCTGCCACACAAAGGGGTTAGACTGAGTGGTCCCAAAGGTCCCTTCCAGCCTGTGATGCTGAATAGCTTCTCCTCTCTGGGCCTCAGTTTTCCCCTCTGCAATGAGGGTTTGAACTGAATGATCTCTAAGGTCCTGGACACCTTGTGACCTAGTGACCTCGCCACGAAACCATGCCTTGAAGGTCCAAAATGCTGGCAACAACTGGGTGGGGATGTGGGGATGTGCCACTTGAGCTCATAAACAATTTAGTAGGGACTTTTGTCAATTTGAGAGTGAGAAGTGCTTGGCTCAGCCTGCCCCCAGCCTGGCCCAGCCTATCCTGCACCTGGCTGGAGGTGTCTGGGAAGGGAGGAAGGCCTGGGTTCAGGGCCTTCAGAGGCAGGAGCTCTTAGGGTGACTTTCATGGGTTCTGTGACCTTGGATGGAAAACACATGCATCTTTTTTTTTCACTCACCTTTGGTTTTCTTTGGAATCCGCCTTTTACTTTGTGTATTTACAAACCTGATTCTCAGGAGGGGCTCTATAGGCCTCTCCAGACAGACTACCTAAGAGTTCTCCTCCCCTCCCCCCATGAATGGCCTGGGCTCTAAGGTGCTAGAGGAAGTGTGGGCTAATTCCAAGCTGGAAGTGACCTGAATGGCATCTCTAGAGGGCTCAAGCTCAACTAGAAATGGGGCTACTCAACCCTCCATAAAGATCCCTACGAGCCACCGATTGACTTAGAAAACCACGCATGAACTTTATGTTTTCTCGCATGTGTATTTATTTTCCCAATGACATTATAATCTGGTTCAGGCCACACTAGGGCTGCCTGGGGCCCGGTGTTTGCCGCCTCTGATCTAGTCTGAGCCACTCATTTTATAAAGTAGGAAATTGAGGCCCAGAGAGGGGACAGCATTGGCCTAAGGTCACAACATGAAACCATGTTGTAAGTGGCAGATCTGAGATTCAAACCCAGGCCCTCTGGCAGCTCTTCCAGAGCCAAAGTCCTTTCTTTCCTGAGTATTACACTGCCTTCCTTTGAAAACAAGAAGGCAGTGGCCTTCCTCCCCGACACAATGTACAGATGACCCGAGCTGCCCATTATAGCACACTTTGCCATGTGCCGAAACAAAGGCCACTGGGGGAGCTGGAGCTTTTTTCCTGCCAACTGCACTGCCTTGCAGTCATGGGTGGCACTGGGGGCCTTGGCTCCCCTTCAGTTCTGTGCCATCAACAAGCATTTATTCCACACCCGCTACAGAATACTGTTATACAAAGACAAAGTCCATTCTCTCAGCTTCCATTGGACTCTTGGGGGTCTGGCATCTATATGAGCCCCCACTCTCCCAAGCCCTCTCAGGGGTGTGGGCTGGGGGAGCATCCAAGGTGCAGGAATGGCAGGGATTTTTTCCCACTCCCTGAAACTCCTGGGCATCCCCAGCAAATGGTAACCTTGGGGTGGGGAGGAGAGGCGCCAGCAGGCCAGCCCATGGAACCACGCTGTCAGGCAGCTAGGTCCCACCAGAGGAGCAGTCAGCAGCCCCACCATAGCTCACGTAGTGTGGCCTTGAAATGCCATTAGTGGTTAAGGGACTGGCCTGGTGTTCCTGAAGCTGAGGACAGTCTCTAGGGCAGCTTTTCTAAGGAGTATGAACATTTTCTGGTTCTTAGCAAGCAAATTAAGGGCAGGCCAGGCCCTGGTGTCTGTCTCCAGCCCTCCTAACCCTGACATACTGCCTCAGGAACTGAAGTTCAGCCCATGACTGGGCCCAGGGGCCCTTAGGGTGAAGGTCAGAAGACTATAAGAGAGAACAAAGGCATCACCTGAAAGGGCATCTGGAAACAAGCTCCCCTGGGCACTGGGAGCAGGGCGCAGAGGCTTCTAGCCTCTTGCCTAGTGCATCTTCCTGCTCTCCCCTGGGCAGGCCCAGCTGAGCCAACAGCTTCTTCAGCTTCTTGGCTACCTGGCATGAGAAGAAACCTTGCTATTTAACCTATGGCCTGCCCACCCATACAGGTGCAGGACACAAACGCCAGGGAAAGGCCCCAGAACAGAAGGTAGGGCAGATAGGTGCCCATGTGCTCCAGAAGAATGCTGCAGAAACTGGCCGTGAATAGCAGCTCCTCACAAGAGCAGCTTTGCTTGGGGCAGCTAGGTGGCACAGTAGCTACCCAGCCTTGGAGTCGGGAGAACCTGAGTTCAAATCTGGCCTCAGACACATGACACTAGCTGTATGACCCTGGGCCAGTCACTTAACCCCAATTGCCTAATCAAAAAAAAAAAAAAAAAGAGCAGCCTTGCAGCACCCAGTTCCTTCTAGGCAGCCTGTCTCTGAATCCTGGTCTCAAGGAAGGCTCTACATAGCCATTGACTCATTTAAAAAACATTTTAATTAATAACTTTTGTTTTTTCATTACCTATACTTCCCTGTTTCCTTCCCCTTCTCCCTAAAGGAAAGAAGAAAAAAGAGAAAAAATTCAGTAAAACCAGTCACTCTGGCAAAAAAAAATCTGATGTTGTATGCAATGTTCCACACTTGTGAACCCTCGTTGCTTCGGCCAAGACGGTAAGGAAGAAGCAAGGGAGAATACTTAGAGCGTTCAGAGTAATTGTCTTTATGATGTTGTTGTCAATGTGTAAATGGTTCTCCTGGTTCTGCTTACTTCATTCTTAATTAGTTCATCCAAATCTTCCCAGATTTCAACTTGTTCAGCCATTTCCCAACTGATGGGCATCCCCTTAGTTTCCAGCTCTTTGCCACCACAAAAAGGGCTGCTATAAATATTTTTGTACTTATGTGTCCTTTTCCCTTTTTTATGATCTCTTTGGGATACAGCCCTAGTAGTGGTATTGCCGGATCAAAGGGTATGCACAGTTTTATAGCCCTTTGGGCATGGTTCCAAATTGCTCTCCAGAATGGTTGGATCATTTCACAACTTCACCAACAATGCATTAGTGTTCCAATTTTCCCACATCTCCAACATTTATCATTTTCCTGTTTTGTCATGTTAGCCAATCTGATAGGTATGATGTGGTACCTCAGAGTTGTTTTAATTTTCATTTCTTTAATCGATAGTGATTTAGAGCATTTTTCATATAACTATAGATGGCTTTAATTTCTTTATCTGAAAACTGCCTGTTCATGTATCCTTTGACCATTTGTCAATTAGAGAATGACTTATATTTTTATAGATTTGACTCAGTTCTCTGTATATTTGAGAAATG